GGGGTCATTATTACAATGCAGGGGGTTTGGTACATGTGACCTGCGCTATGGTGAGACCTACATGAAGAATACAGAGCAATGTCTGCGGGTTTGGCATCTCATCGTAGAATACAAGGTTTCATCTGGGACTTGTAGTTCCTCCCCATGAGGGTATGTGGAGCTGCCGCTATGGAGGGTGACAATCTATGGGGTCTATGTACTAAGATCCCATCATTTCTATTGGTCGGACACTCTATATTGAATTTCTTTCACACAACTTTCATCCAGGGTTCACACACCTGAATTCAATTATAAAAGTGTGTGAATCTTGGGTGAAAGCTGTGTGAATCTTGGGTGAAATGTTATAAACAAACCCCTCAATTGTTCTGGAATCTTCTTTTGTTTTCCGGCGCGTTACTTTATACTGAACAAGACTGAGTGAATGATGGAGACACACCAGATGAGTGAATGATGGAGACACACCAGATGAGTGAATGATGGAGACACACCAGATGAGTGAATGATGGAGAGACACCAGATGAGTGAATGATGGAGACACACCAGATGAGTGAATGATGGAGACACACCAGATGAGTGAATGATGGAGACACACCAGATGAGTGAATGATGGAGACACACCAGATGAGTGAATGATGGAGAGACACCAACTGAGTGAATGATGGAGAGACACCAACTGAGTGAATGATGGAGAGACACCAACTGAGTGAATGATGGAGACACACCAACTGAGTGAATGATGGAGACACACCAGATGAGTGAATGATGGAGACACACCAGATGAGTGAATGATGGAGACACACCAGATGAGTGAATGATGGAGACACACCAGATGAGTGAATGATGGAGACACACCAGATGAGTGAATGATGGAGACACACCAGATGAGTGAATGATGGAGACACACCAGATGAGTGAATGATGGAGACACACCAGATGAGTGAATGATGGAGACACACCAGATGAGTGAATGATGGAGAGACACCAACTGAGTGAATGATGGAGAGACACCAACTGAGTGAATGATGGAGAGACACCAACTGAGTGAATGATGGAGAGACACCAACTGAGTGAATGATGGAGAGACACCAACTGAGTGAATGATGGAGACACACCAGATGAGTGAATGATGGAGACACACCAGATGAGTGAATGATGGAGACACACCAGATGAGTGAATGATGGAGACACACCAGATGAGTGAATGATGGAGAGATACCAGATGAGTGAATGATGGAGAGATACCAGATGAGTGAATGATGGAGAGATACCAGATGAGTGAATGATGAGACACCAATAGAGTGAATGATGAGACACCAATGCAGTGAATGATGGAGAGACACCAGATGAGTGAATGATGAGACACCAGATGAGTGAATGATGAGACACCAGATGAGTGAATGATGGAGAGATACCAGATGAGTGAATGACGGAGAGTTACCAGATGAGTGAATGATGAGACACCAGATGAGTGAATGATGGAGAGACACCAGATGAGTGAATGAGGGAGAGACACCAGATGAGTGAATGATGGAGAGACCCCAGATGAGTGAATGATGGAGAGACCCCAGATGAGTGAATGATGTAGAGACACCAGATGAGTGAATGATGGAGAGACACCAGATGAGTAAATGATGAGACACCAATGCAGTGAATGATGGAGAGACACCAGATGAGTGAATGATGGAGAGACCCCAGATGAGTGAATGATGGAGAGACACCAACTGAGTGAATGATGGAGAGACACCAACTGAGTGAATGATGGAGAGACACCAGATGAGTGAATGATGGAGACACACCAGGTGAGTGAATGATGGAGAGACACCAACTGAGTGAATGATGGAGACACACCAACTGAGTGAATGATGCAGAGATACCAGATGAGTGAATGATGAAGGGACACCAACTGAGTGAATGATGAGACACCAGATGAGTGAATGATGGAGAGACACCAGATGAGTGAATGAGGGAGAGACACCAGATGAGTGAATGATGGAGAGACCCCAGATGAGTGAATGATGTAGAGACACCAGATGAGTGAATGATGGAGAGACACCAGATGAGTGAATGATGAGACACCAATGCAGTGAATGATGGAGAGACACCAGATGAGTGAATGATGGAGAGACCCCAGATGAGTGAATGATGGAGAGACACCAACTGAGTGAATGATGGAGAGACACCAACTGAGTGAATGATGGAGAGACACCAGATGAGTGAATGATGGAGACACACCAGGTGAGTGAATGATGGAGAGACACCAACTGAGTGAATGATGGAGACACACCAACTGAGTGAATGATGCAGAGATACCAGATGAGTGAATGATGAAGGGACACCAACTGAGTGAATGATGAGACACCAGATGAGTGAATGATGGAGAGACACCAGAGTGAATGATGGAGAGACACCAGATGAGTGAATGATGGAGAGACACCAGATGAGTGAATGATGGAGAGACACCGGTGGACGGATATCTTACCGAAGTTCCATTTTCTTAGAGGAGCAACTCTAGCCAAAGCTTTTGATGTGGTTTTGGACAGAGTGGGGGAGGGTTTCACTTCCTCTGTGGTCACTGCGACAGGAAGTGATGAAAGGTTGTAGAGAAGAACATAAGTTGATCCTGTGTGAATCAAAGTGAATGAATAAATATTTAATTCTTGTGTTTCATAAAAAAGCTGTAAGTGAAGTGACTTTGTAAAAGTATATAAATAAATGAATGAAAATTGTATCGTTTCTGTGGATTCATTGTGAAAAAATCCCAATAAAGAAAGTCTCTGTGCTAATCCAATCCGATCCAAGTGAAGAGATGTGCGTAGCGACTTACTTCCAGTATTCGGTAATACACTTTATTCTGAGGAGTGTATTGAGGTCAATACATATCCCCTGAGCCATGGTTCATGCCTGAACGTTTTGTAGCGCGTTCTACGCTCGGCGAACGCTCTACAAAACGCTCAGAAATA